CCAGGGCGAGTAGGGGCAGGGGGGAGGGGGGGGGGGGGGGGGTGCTGAAAAACAGTCATTCATCTGCTATTGAATTAATGCCGCTCTACATTTAGATGTATGTGTTTGACTGTATAAGAGCGAGAGGTGAAGCAAAGGACCAACAGGGGGCCTGTGTGTGTATTTATTTAGAAACATGAGAGCGCTAAGTGTGTGTGTGTGTGTAACATAAATATATTGGCAATACATAAACAGTGCAATCATTTTAAACACTTTTATCAGGTTAGAGTCACTGCTGAAGTATGACAGAACTGACTCTAAGTTAATGTTCGCTAACCCAGATTATGTGGATGAAATTATGTGGATGATAGAAATATTGACCAACTGCACTGGGATTTCTGTGATTTACGGTTTGGTAATTTAGGTCAGGCCATCTGTAACGGTAGAGACAATCTCTGATTAATGTTTATCACACGCTTGGCTGAGAAATGTGCCCTCATTGGTCCTGTGTCACTGCAATAGAAATGATTTCAAGCCAGGTCTTTGGGTCTCAAAATGAGTTTCCCTGTTTTACCTCCTTTCTTTTAATTAAATGTAATAACTTGTGGTACTTGCCACTAGAGTGTCTACGGACATCTTCACATTTATTCTTTCTGTTACTGCATTTTCCCGTTTGTTTTTTTATGGTAAATTATAAAAAAAGGATTTGAAAAGTTTCAAGACTGATGTTATTTCAAAAATGTCATCAGACATCTATCTATCTATCTATCTTAAATCTGACCAATGATAAAATCAGCATCACCATCAAATCATGATCAAACTTAAATAGAAATGTATTAAAATGGTCAGACCTCTATCTCCCTCTGACGTTTACCTTTCCCCCAAAAGTGAATTCTTGAGAGGAAGCTCTGTAACATCCTTAATGGAGATTTGTACGATCATTATCTGTCAAATAATATCTTTGATTTACTCTGTTGTTACTGTTATTTCTCTTGTGTGCCTTTTAAATCTAAAAACCTTCATTCCCCTTCTTCTCCTCTTCTGGTCATGTCACTTTTTGCACTTTCTATCCCCCACGCAGAGACTGTTAGGCCTGGGGCCAGGATGCTTCAATCTTCACCTCCTCTTTTCACTATGTGGTCTTGATAGAAACCCCATGAACCCAGCAGAATGCACGAGCCGTGCCAGACCAAGCATCCACACAACAGAAGTCAGTGCACACAACAGCAAACTGCAATAATAACATTGTTGAAGAACCCCTTTTTGTTGGCCCGTGTTATCTGGCACTGATGTTGCCTAATGGTTTTGGATGACTTGAGTTGAGGTCAGGGCGCTGGAATGGAGTCTGGGGTGAGAGAGGGAGTAAAGAGCATCAAGGACACTTGGCTGGTGTTCTACATCACTGCTCAGTGACATTGTCAGCAGAAGGTGGCCTCATATATCTCCTTCTGGTCAGTTTGGCGTTAGTCTGTGCGGCTCTACCCCCTTGTGGTGAATTTATGTCAGTTCAACGAGGAGGTTTTTTTTTTTTTTTTTTTTTTGAACCAAATTGCACGGCCTCTCATTAGACCTATACCTAAATAGAGTTTTAGGATAATAAGCAATTTAAAAATAATAATCAAACGGTCACTAATTGTGCATTTTCTGCAATTATAAGTGGACTTAATAGATCTTAAGGAAAAATATGCTGTATAAAGAAGAAAAAATCGTTAGACTTCCTATTATCAGGTACGGTAGTAAAAGTTCTCTTGGCCATAAGATATCTTAACGACATTACTGTTCCAAAATCATTTGAGCGATTGCAGGAAATGACAGATTAAACCACCAGGTGTCAGTGTCATTCAATGCAAATCGAGTGCTGGGGCTTTAAAACTGAGAGCAACTCATTGTGAACTTTTAGTGAAATCAGGTAGAAGTCAAAATAAACTAAAATAAAGTCCATGATGCCACAGGAGGACACGTTAGCTCCCCTACTTTTAAACCACAAAGAAATCTGAGCAGACTTTATGCAAGACTGGGGGATTGTACTAATCTGCCAGAGTATTAAAGAGGGATCAGAAGACAAAAAAGGCCAAAGTTCTTATAAACTGGTAACATTGAGACAGTGAGTGCAGGGGGGATTGCGGATGCCAAATACCCACTGTTTTTGGTTTTAAATTGTCTATTTCTTTCTGTGTGTTGACAATTGCTGCAACTTGTGGCCTGGGAAAAAACAGCTGAAACAACACATTTATGGAATTGAAAAATGCTGATTTCTCTCATGTTGCAGAATCTCATCCAAATGGATGCAAAGAGTGCGCAATTTTTGGGATTTTTCAAATTGGATATCAACTAATCCCTCACTGTCTCACTTATAAATATGAATAATTCACTATGCAGATAAGGTGAGTCAATGAAGAGTCATATAGAGTCATATAATTCATACAATGCATCCTAATAGCCAGGAGGTGAGTGTGCCAGTATCAGCATCGCAGCCTGTGAGTGAGACTGTTGGTTATGAAGGAGAGCTGGAAATGAAGGAGGAAAGCCCATCTTATTATGAAGCACTTTCCCATCACCATTTTTCCGAGAGTACATTGATTTTGGCCCACGACTTGCTGCTGCAGAACGTCGTTTATCTTAAGTCCCCGTTAGGCCCTGCAAAGAGGCTACTGTGGCCCCTTCCAAGACAAAGATTACAGTAAGGCATGGAGAAGACATGAAAACATGGCCCACCTTTGTGTGGATTTGTGTGCTTTCACTGAACCAAGGAGTTCAGGTCTGGAAACTGGGTTTGGTTTGTTGCAACGATTGCTTTTAATGGGATATATTAAATTATTA